AAGAATACTTGCTAAATCTGAGTTCAGGAGTCATTACCGTGACATAACTTTCGATCGCACTTTAAGCATTTTTGAGTCTCCGATTCATTAACCATTCTTAAATATATACCGGAAAGCATTACGGAGCCCCAAATCTCAACAATTTAACTCCGATACTTTACTATATCAGTTTCATTTATACTGCCTAACCTGTCCTAGGAAGTAAAATATGTAGCTGGCTACTTAACTTTGTCAGGAGCATGTTTCTTTACTTAGCCATTTTAAAAAAGATAAGCCCCTATTTTCACTCATACATTTTTACGAATGGATTTAATATGTATATTTACTCCAAAGTTTATCACCCTCAGAACACAAATGGGGTATATATTAGTATTCGGTTTGGCATTCTTGGTTTTGCCAGACTAAACTTTCGTCCATAATCAGAGCTGTAAAACTCTCGAGGTGATACTAGGTCTTGACCTCGAATAATCTGAATCCAAGGAGGGTATCTCTTTAACTGCGTCAAAATGAACTGCCAAACGGCTGCATCATAACGATAATTGGTCGTTGTCTCTGATGCAATCAACCTACGAATCTCTTCATCATGCACGCTCATACCAAATGAAAGTCTCTTTGACAATTTTATCCTAAGAGACTCATTAAAACCCAGTTCCTCTTCGTTTTAAGCTTACTAAGCATCAGGAATAATTGATAGATCTAGGCATTCTTGCCCAGCTTCTATAATAGAGGCTCTCACTCTATGAACAGACAAGCTCAATTTAAGCATCAGATTAAGCCAAAATCTTTATATGAAAGCATACAGGATAACCCAGCTGTCTCTGAATGGATGCTGTGTATTTGTATGCCATTGATTTAAATTTGTCGTAACTCTGGTGAATACAGTGTAGGGGCTTCTGTTTATTATTGTCTACACCATACCCCTTAATGGCCTATATATAAGGTATGAATATATTTGTTCTTTTTTTTAAAAGTTGATGCAGCGTATACGCAAGGAGTTTATGATAAATCCAGAGTTTGATCCTGCTAAAGTTGCACGAGCTAGCTCGGCTGCTGAAGGGTTGTGTCGATGGATAATGGCAATGGAGCAGTATGATAGAGTAGCCAAGATTGTGGCACCAAAAAAAGCCAAGCTTCTTGAAGCAGAGGCCGAGCTGGCAGAAAATATGGCTGTATTGAAAAAGACGCAAGCTAACCTAACGGAACTTGAAGAAAAGCTGGCTGTATTGCAGGCTAAACTGCAAGCTACTCAGGATGAGAAGCATCGCCTAGAGAATGAAGTGCAATTGTGCGCTGTAAAATTAGATCGAGCCAAAAAGTTAATAGGCGGGCTTGGTGGTGAAAAAGACAGGTAGTTTTCAATTTTTTACAAAGCTATTATTTTGTTGTTATAGCCTAAAATGCTCACTTTTAGAAATCCAATATAAATGTTTAGATATATGAAGATATTTGCCACTATCGTTCAATAGAATCATGTTATATTGCTAATCTTTGAACTTCAGATTGAATAATAATAGGTCCTTAGGATAACTTTTTGAACAAAGCTCTTTGTATTCTTAGCTTCACCAACCTAGTAAGTTGAATTTTATAAGAGAATTCTTGTCACTTTTACTGCGTATGCTTGGATATTCTTGATTCTTTGATGTTTTCTTTGATTTTATATGCTGCATTGGGAAGCTTCAAAGGCCTCAGTAGATATAGAGGAATGAGTTGTATCACCCCAGGACGTTTAAGATAGTGGAAGAGGTAAACCTCAGGATGCAGTCAAATTTCACATAGTCTCACCGCATACAAAGTAGTTTTGGCTTCGTCTAAATCTCATTGGCACAATCTATTCATTCGAAACTGGGGCTTAAACTTCGGGCTGCAACACTGCCATTCTGCCACAGCCACTATTGTTAGTGGTTCGCAGAGTAGATGAGGCCTTCATGGAAAGCTAAGCCCCCCTTACTTTTATAGCGAGACTGGTCGTATATGCTCTCTGGCCTCACTGGCTGAGTGACAAAATGGTAAACTTGCTACTTGGTGCGCACGAGCTGGTTTCGAATTCCATTTGTGTGTTTATTAGACTTAAGCTACGTCGAAACCGCAATCCATCTCTGATGATGACGTTTTTTGCGAATCAAGCTTATTTGAAATTCAATAACAACGTGAGGCCTTTTAACTCCATTGTAGGTAAGTCAATACTAGGTCTTTGCATCACCTTAAAGGGCCTATGGTCATCCAAGTTCTTAACATGATTCTAACCATTTGAGGAGGAACTACTAATTTTACTTAGGTTATCGAATAAATAAATTTAAATTAAGTTTGATGGATGCAATAGGCCTGAAATTGAATCCAACACGATTTTGATGCACAAACACTATCATATTCATTGTTATCGATATATTCTTGTAAGAATTTGAATTTTGAGGCATCCAATCATTCTTCAAGAGGTAAAATACATACAATAATAGGAATTTCGTGAATTAAGGAGACATTATTTTTAAATTTGAATTCGTTCATCCAAGAGATGGCTCCTATCCCCAATTATCAAAAAATAAGACTTATTTTTTGTGTTCTGTTAGCATTAGTACAAATTGATACTTTTCAACATTTCTTTGGTATATGATATATATTCATCTTATTTCGTTTAAGGTAGTAAGGGGACTGTCAGTTGAATTTTTCCACAATAATATGAGTAGACCTTACGTTTCCATTGAATTCTATAAAGCATTGCTTTCCAAAAATATATTATTATCTAAAGTGGCTGATAGGTCTTATCCACACTTCCCTATCGGGACTCGAAACATGATAGTGCCCCGTATAGTCTTTATACTTTAGACACTAAACAACATTCCCACGAGTGCTCTTTGGTCACAAGGCAGAAGGAAGGCTAGGCATTTCCCCATATCACATTCTGTGGTATGATTAACTACCAAGCAAAGTAGTATTTGCTATAACAATCGACTACTAGTAGATTATATTTATATATGAGATGTATTTACCCTATTTCGTTTAAAGTGGTAGTCTTAAAAACCTACTTATAAAAGAAAGACGTCTATAGTATGCCTGCAGTAGCAAATGTAATATGCTTTTGGGCTATTAGATCCTTGATGTGAAGACTTTCATACTAGACCCTCAGGATCTCATTTAGTTTTGCCTAATTCAATTCGTAGGAAATAATACTTCTTCTTAGTCGAACTTTTCATAATATGGCATATAATGGAGTGTGTTTTTTCATAAAAGTATCAGTCTTTTAGATTTTATTTGAAGTAACCTGATATTACTACGATGCTGCAGTCGTGCTCGAATAGTTAATAAAATATTTCAGTTTGCACTCATATATTACTCATACTTTTGATTTATAGCACCATTAATTTCAGTTGTAATGCCATTTGAGTCTGCATACTTGCCTTCAGACAAAGGTACATTTCGATTATAGCAACATATTAAAAGAAATTTGCACAAGGTAATTATACTTGTTATCTAAAAAATACTCTTTCGATATCTCATTGTCTGACTAAATTCACCGGCAATAAAGCAATAGCAATTAATTTTTTCACTGCAATTATAATTATTTAAAAAAATTATGTATTTGTTTTCAACAAATATAAATACAATACTCATTCTTTCCCACAATTTTATAACAGACATAATAAATTCATATAATTATCTTGACTAGTTTTCGACACTTCCGATAGGTCTCAAATAATAAACATATTAACCATATTTTGCATCAGATGATGGGCTTATTGTGTAATTTCCCTTTCGAACAGAGAGGACCGAAGTTTCAACTTCGCCTGTATCTCATCAGTACCTCCAACAAAAATTAAAACCCAGTAGTGCAGCAACCATTATAATAGTACCAAAACCCACCAAAATTTAATATAATTAATATATTTGCTTTTCATGCCCAATCCACATTTACCTCTTTGCCACTCGGACTATAATTGTGATATGTGAGAGGTCTGGGTTTTCCTTGGCAAATTGTCGATAATTTACCCTTCACTATACAGGTTCTATTTTCGTTGGGGTGTCTGATGAGAACCAGGCAATGTTGAAACTGCAGTTCACCTCGAATAAGGATACCTTTTTTTGGAGGATACGCTAATTAAACATTAATGGCATCAAAAGGTCTGCTCATATATGGTAATAAGTTTACACTTCTAGTCTTTCATCACCTTTTGTGACGTAGAATAAATATATTTCTCATAAATTCATACTTTTTACACATTTTCCATATGACAGATAGATTATACTCATTATTATTAGCATTACATTTGCCCTTAATCCTCGAAGTCTACCCCTTTTTACATCATTTTTCTTATAGAGAAATCTTTTTTCTGAAGAATTTTTAAGATGGATTCGCTTAATATAAAGGAGCTCACAAATAATACCCTTACTTTTTCTACACTTTTTCTACTGATAATATAGAGTCAGCAAAGTGGCCGATACTAAGCTCAGATAATGTCCAAATTCAGTGACATTTTGTCTAAAAACCGGATTATGATAAAATCTTGTTATATGTTTATAAATTATTTTTCTTATTCTTATTTAGATGGAGTCAAGCTTCTATTACATTGGAGGACATTTACAATAATCTTACAGGAGATGTCTTAATATCTGCCGGGGTTATTGCTTACCTCGGACCTTTCACCTCAATTTACCGAGATGAATGTACTGAAGACTGGATTCGTCTATGCAAAAATTATAACATTGCCTCTTCTGAACAGTTTAGTCTAACGGTATGTTTAGGAGATCCTGTAAAGATACAGGCATGGAATATCAACGGACTTCCAAGAGATGCATTTTCGATCGACAATAGTGTTATAGTTGCCAATTCACGAAGATGGTAAGCTAAAGTAATCCTTAAAAATTTGAGAGAAAATACTATAACGTTACTAGGTCATAAATGTACTACTTCTTTTCTATAATTTGCTAATTGACTTAGTTTCGAATCCATATGAATACTACAGAGTAAAGTAAAGCTGAATCAAATTGTGAAACATGTCAATGAAGATTTATTTTTAAAATTTTCTCTAGAAGAATTAGTCGTTACGAGATTATCATTGGATCTTGAATAAGATCTATGGCCGTCAGGTCGAATAAGCTGACATAGGACGGATAGTATGCCTTATGATGCCATTAACATTCCCTTAGCCTTGGTTTTTTAAAAGCATTGTCATTCAGGCATCATCACCACCAGCATATATTCTTGGGATGTTACCACTACGGAGCATTGCCACGTGTGCCAATGTTTCATGGCATATGAGAATTTGTCTAATAAGTCAAACCTTTCTTATATCAAAGGTTTAGTTGGATTGTTTACGAGGAAAATTTGTAATTTACAATTAAAATAGAATATATTAATAATATTATTCATTATTGGGTTTCAAGAGTATATCTATTATTCAAATTTTACTGGAAATCTCAGAACTCCGAAAATACAATTCTGAATAATGTGCTTTGCTCTATATACAATCTCATTATATTTATGATATGTAAACGACCTTGCTTGCTTTTAAAGTCACGTCTTCTTTGTGAACTATTTGCATCTGTAGCAATATGGCGTAGTGGCAGTATGTCCAAAGTGTCCGGTTAACAACCTGGCTTTGATTCCCTTTGGGGGTTCTGATAAGGCCCTGAAGACGTCGAGACTTCAGTTTTCCTGAGATAAGAATAGCTTTTAAGGGGCATGACATAGTGAAATCCAAAGACATTGTGGGGCTTACGCCTACCATTTCGGAAAAATAGCGTGCATTTGGATGACTTAATCCTTTATTCTTAATTACTGTTGATGATTGCTATGAAGACTTTTATTTTGTATGGAAGTACATGATGAAGAGCTTCTTAGATCAATCTTACCGGAAGACGCCGGCTGATTCGCGTTGTACTGCAGCCTTTTGGCATTAATACAACGTTCAGGTTGATGCAGTCCACGAGACATCCTCCAACGTTTCGGACGAAGATGAGATGAGCTTCATTTATCGTATGATGAACACCGTCAGAGCTTGGTTAATTCACATATACTCTAGTATATCTTTGTGCTTATCTATGTTACCGTCTGTACGCTAAACCTGTCGTCACTCAGAGTAATTAGAAAATAGCTCCTTGGTTCATTAAACCTTAATAACCCAGACTAACGGATTTGGAGTGGTGGTTTCGTAACCTGTCCTTCGCGTGTACAGTCTAAAATCTAATCAATTTAACCAGAGTTACTTGCGGACTAACGTAATCTCGATCATCCTTTCCTTGTTTCTTTGAGTCATTAAGCCTTGATGACTCGGGGCGGACGTTAAGCTTTTTTCTAATTACTCTGAGCTATGACTGGTTTTGCGTATAGACGCTATCATACATATACATACATACACACTCTATTATACGTAAATTAACCAAGCCTTTCTATGTCAATCTATACCTTAAATTTTTCTCGTGATGAGTATATATAACATAAGAAAAAGCCTGTCGGTCTTCTTGACTTAGGGTTAACTTGAAGCTTTTGCGATGTTGATCATATGACAAACTAAAGCTCAGCCCCTCTCAATCAGAAACGTTGAACGTCTCGTAGACTGCATCAACCTGAACGTTGTATTAAGGCCAAAACGGCTGCAGTACAACGCGAAGCAGCCGGCGTCTTCCGGAGAAATTGGGCTGAGAATCTCTTCATCATATATTTTATTTCGAAATGAAAGTCTTCACAAAAATCTTACCTCATGAGATTCTTTGAAGCCCGCATTTTTTTCGTATATACTATTAATAATCAGTCTTCTGGTAGGTGCTAATATTAGTGATAGAACTAGGATATTTCCTCAGGTGTCCTGTATTACTTTTCACTAGCTCACATAATTAAATGCATAATGGTTATTTTTAGGATTAAAACCAAGTCCTAGTTGCCTAGCAATTTGTTAGGGTTATTTAAGTTTAGAAGCTTGGATCTAATAAATTGTATGTTCTTCATTCATGCCGTATTATAGAGCCATCAGGTTCAATATATTAAAATCTCTTTAGTGTTCATCTGTGAAAGATACTTATTAATAAACAACAATCCCCTTCTTTGTGCATTTTATATTATGGCTCAATTGAGTATATTAAAATCTTAATATATGTGTATTTATTAGGCCTCTTATGATAGATCCTCAGGGACAAGCAAACAAATGGATCAAAAACATGGAAAAAGAGAATGCCATCGTTGTTTTAAAATTGACGGATTCTGATTTTATTCGAAACCTGGAGAATGGAATACAGTTTGGGACGCCCATTTTATTAGAAAACGTCTCGGAGGAGCTCGATCCCAGTATGGAACCGCTTTTGCTTAAACAAACCTTTAAGCAAGGTAAGTTTTAGTTATCATCCTTGTCTTTTGTGAAGCCAGTTACAATCTTAAATTGTTCAAAACCACGTATCTGAAAAGTAATTCCCAAATATTGTATGAGTTTTGGTTGAATCCAACTCCAGCTTTGTCAATCATAAGACCTATAAGAAGGATAAAAGTCTATGGAAAGGGGAGGTGAAGTTGTATATATGCCAGAAGGTGCACAGAGTTAGTTGCTTGTATATAGTTTTGGTAACAGATGGATAAACAGGACTACTGAATGGAAAGAAGGACCTGGAAGAGAGCGATCGGCAGAACATAATTAAATGATATAGCCAACGTGAGAGAGATGCTACAGAGTTGGTATCAATTTGAAGTCAACCATGAGGCAAATTTATATTGTCTCTGCTGCGACAGTGTGGTCCTGTATAAGAGGAGGCAACGAAACGGCGTTGGAAGACCTTTCCTAGGATACAGACCCTGAGTGAGCACTGTCCTCCTTACGTTGAAGTCCAATCGATTTGTACCATCGCAGATACAGAAGAGAAAATTAGTGGCATACACTAGGAGAAACACGATGAAAGACACCTGTATTACCTCCAAATGAGTAGCTTATTAGATAAAAACACAGAACTATCAGAAGTCTTGGCGATCTAAATTTCGGCTTTGATTAATTTTAGGTGTTTTTTCTGATAGATCCAAAGATAGGCTCGTTCCAGCGGCAAGATTCGCTTGGCCGATGAGAATATCAACAAGTAGTCCTTGTCTAAAATGAATGTCTGTCGAAAGATACGCCCTTGATGTTTCAAAACTAACTGATGTGGTGATTACGAGTAGAAGTAGGTCACTTCTATTTATAGCTTTGTTGTGTTTTTATCATTTATGTAATTAATTTACAATAATATATATATATATGTGTCTTCATAAATAATAGGTAATTTTTATGAATTTGCTAGATAAAAATAAAATGCTTTTTTTGTATATTACACTTTTTCACACATCTCGAGATGTGTTATTGACCGTCTTCAATGTTTAAGTATTAGGGCAAAAAAAGCTATAATCGAACTTTCTCAATATTTTCTGGCAATAGTAACCTCTTTATTTCTTGCAAGGAATTGAACAAGTAGTAGTTTTGTCGTTACAGGGATCACATATTTATGGCCATCATATATTTTTGAATTAGATTTTAACATGTATCAAAAAGTCCTCTTATTAGGCTTTGTAAATTCGGTTCAAAAATGGGTTAAACTTTTAATAAAGCAATGCGACTCTGCATGATGCACTCCTAGTTTATATAAAAAGCATACCTTCCATAAATGCACTCAGTAAAAAATTGTATATATGTTATTAAAATACCTATTCTCTTACTTTAATTTTAATGTTGTAAAATATATTTAGCATTTGTACATTTTCAATTTTCTATAATATTACAATTTAGATGGAGCTTCTTACAGGCCTTAAATGATTCCAAAGCATTATTTTTCTCTATACTGGGCAAAAAAGAAAAAAATTATTTATAGTGTTGGTTCGATCTTGTTTTTGCAACTTGGTCGAAGTGTCAGGGAGATCTTGTGAAACGTACCTAGTCCCGTGTCCTCTACCATAGTATTCGTGATTTTCATCATTGGAACATTGGCTGGATACATTCAAAAAAGTTTCACCGGCATCGTCAGTGAGAGGCTCCATTATAAGCACAGAGTTACAACTTATCAAAGTGACAGAAAGGTTTGGGAATATACTTAGCTAATGGTCCAATACTGGAAATCATGAATACATGGCAGAAGGCACGGGAATATGTACGTTTCACAAGGTCTTATTTACGTTCCAACTAAGTTGCAAAAACAAGGCCTAACAAACACTATAAAGCTAAAAGAGACTGCGACCAAAGAGAAGGTTACGCCATCTTGTTTGTTCATGCAGAGTTTTTACCTACTTTCTTGTAATCTACGTATGTAAATTAGGTTTTTTTTCGATGTTTCAAGGCTACTAGATGTCTTAGGATTTAACACGTCTTCATTATCTAGTTTATTTAATAATTTCAACTTGATTTAAAAAATGTAAACTACTTTTACGTTTCTAATTTTATAGGTGGTGTAGAAATGATTCGGTTAGGAGAAAATGTTATTGAATATTCTAGAGATTTTCGTTTGTATATAACCACAAAATTGCGAAATCCGCATTATCTACCAGAGATTGCAGTCAAGGTTTCTCTGCTAAATTTTATGATCACTCTCGAAGGACTCGAAGATCAATTACTTGGAATAGTAGTTGCTAAAGAAAAGTACGCATTTCGATCTTTTGATCTAACAGAATTTTTTTTCTAATAAACTTTAATTCTTATACTGTGTCTATTTAAATTCTAACAAAGAGGAATATGGATGGGTTACTAACGAATCAGG